ATAGCAACTGCCCCTCTGCTTCCTGAAAAATACTTACTGACTTCAGCTCTGCAGCTTTCCTTAGGAACTGTGGAAGCAAGAGATTCTCTTGTGTTACCACACTAGAGACAGGCTACACAGGTTTTAAAGGGGTATCCAAGAGCCAACCTTTGTCAACCTTCCAATTGGAAGCTGACATATTAAAACATTTTTATTGCAATTCTCCTGCAACAGAGCTTTGGAAACAATTCTTGTTTTCTGTGGAAAACACTGACATTTTGCTTCTCATCCTCACCCAAACCAGACTATTTTCCAACCTACTGACACTTTTCTTGGAGGTTCAATTTCCCAGAATGCAAGATTCAAATTCTAGACCATGAGATCCATCCAAAACAACTCAGACTTCTATTTTCAGCCTGAACCTTTACCACACTTTGCATATTTGGATTCATGCCAATAATTTTCTTTTAAAGACACATTTTTTTGGTACAGCAGGAACTGGTTAAGAAAAAAGAATTTGCTTCACTATGCAGAAAAAACCTTTTCTCTCAGAGTTATTATAGGTTTAGGACACAACGATATTCAACAAAAATAAAATGTAATTGAGCAGAGGTACTCCCCATATATTATTTAACTTGGTTGGATTTTGGCATGGTTTATTTTGTACGTTTTAACCTTGTGGTCTATTCTTTTTTTTTTTTTTTAGGGGAGAACTGGCATTTCTAGACTTCCTCAAGTCCCATTTTGTTCTTTCAGAATGAAAAGATGAATTACTGAATTAAATCCTTGCCCACTTCTCTTCCAATTTATCCTGTGTATCCTCCTCCAAGGTAGAGCACACTCACTACTCTTCTGGAGCACCTTTTCAAGTTTACGTTCCTACAAAAGGAGTCTCCTTCATGAGCTCCAAGAACCCAGCATAAATTGAAGTGCAATATATGAGGAGAACAGCAAAATGTGCCTCAGAAGCACACTTACCTTCTGAAATAAAATTCTAATACACCATTATACAGGCAGTGGCAAGAGGAAAACTCCTCCAAAAAAGCATTTTGGAATACTGCAGTTAGGTCCTGTTCTGAACTACTTTCTTGGATGAATTTCTCTCTTGCAACATCAAAAGAGTTATGGAAACTAGCTCTCTTCCTAATTCAGCCACCCAAGTGATGTTCTGAAACTTTGGCAAAAGTACCATAAAGCAGGCCAAAAAGAGTCTGAAGAACAACTATGAGGAACAAAAATTCACAATAAATCTTACGTCAAATACATTAGAAGCAGGAAGTCTGCTGGGTCCACTAGTGATCAGAATATAAAGGAGCCCTGACAGAAAACAGGGCCATTGCAGAGAAGCTAGAACTCTGCATCAGTGTTTGCACAGACAGAAACTGTAGAGGATTCAACATGGAACGTTCTTCTGTTTCTAGCTCAGCCTTGAAGACATACAACTCCATAGGGGATAAAACAAGAGCTATAGCATCCTGAATGGTCAAGTGACGTGCATGGGGTTTGCTTTGTTCACTGTGTTTTCCAATAAAAGACATCAAATGAAGGTAGTAGGAGCCAGGTTCAAAGCAAGCAAAAGGAGACAGTTCTTCAAACAAACATGAAACAAATTCCCAAAGGATGTTGTGGGTGTTAGATTTTCCAAATATTCAATAAGAATTAGGTTAAGGAAGAGGAACTATTTTAAGGATTTTTAAATACTGACATTATGTCCAGTCCAGCAAATTTCTTGAGCTGAAGACCAGCTTGTCCTGTCTCATTTTCCCCTGGCTTCTTCATTGGTCATAGCTGGAGTCAGAATATTGGGCAAGCCATTTGATTTGATCAAGCACAAACATTTTCATGGTTTTAGTAAATACTGTCAATTCCTTTTTGTTTCTATCCTACATATTGTCGTTGTATTTTGGATCCATTAAAAAACGGGCGGGATTGCTAATCTTCTTTATTGCTATCTCATTTTAGCTCTGGGAATTATTATTCCTATTTTAGCTACCACCATCATGACTTATATAAAGCATCTATAGCCCAATACTGTAAGAGAGGGAGCTCTTCATTGCCATGAAACCAGCAGGAGCTGAGAGCAGTGACTATTTAAAGGCTCTTGAACATGTGACAGTAAATGGAATTTAAGCATCCAGTAAGAGCTGCACAGAAGTGCTTTCCTGAGTTTGGGCTCTAAAAGACTACTGAGATATGGAAGGGCTTTTACACACCATGGTGTTTGCCAGCACATACCTGCTCAGTTTCATCCTGTTTTAATCTGATCTCTGGGTTGTTTTTTTTTAAATTTAAGCTCCGTTTCCAAACAACTGTAGAGTAATTGAATTGTAAAGCACCAAATAACCCTTTCTCTTGGAAGATAACCATCATAGCCTAAAGGTTAGGTCAAGAAAGAAATTCCTCTTTTAAAAGGTAGGTTTCTTCCCACACAGAAACCAAAGGCAAAGGCTGGTTTGTATGATCCTGTATGTAGTTTCCATAAAAACCATGTTTTGTCTCTTGTTTCAAGACGGGCCAGAACCACACCCTGGAGGTGAATCTCTCTGGATGGCTGACATACAGGATCTAGGTGGGATGGTGTAGTTTAAGACTGCTTTCATGCAACAATTTTATCCTCTGTTTCTGTGTGTTAAAGCCCTACATTTACTGCTGAGCACTGCTGTTGATGATAAAAGAAAACAATAAGCAAAACTTACAGATGGCTAATGATTGCTGGGAATCATTCAGAGTTGATGCAGTGCTTTAAACTTCACTTACATTTATTTCTGTTTCAGAAAAAATTCATTCCTGCAAAAGGGTCTAGAATATGCAATTTGGAGGCAAGTCGAACCCCAAAGTAGGCTAAAAAAAAATAAAAATAAAGGTTACTACAGGACAGCACAAAAAATGTCTGGACCAATTCACAGCCATTTCTGTTGCAGCTCTTAAAATACTGTAGTGAGTTTTCTACCTCACTCACTGCAAGCAGTTGACTTGGAAAATCATATTGGAAAGTGAAAGCCTATTCTTTGTAGAACTCTGTATAGTACTAAAAGAGTAAATGAACTTCTGATCTTTAGAAAATGTATGTGCCTTATTCCTGGTCTGAAAATATACCAAACGAAAACAGAGGGGATTCTGGGAAAAGGTCTGCAACACTTTTCCCCTAAAGCCAGTTTTAAATGTCAGGGTTTTTTTAGGCTACTGATCATGCCACAGTACTTAAACAACAAGAAGACATGATGCTGGTTCTTTCCATTTTCTCCAAAGTTATTGAAGTGGTACTTCTGAAAGCAAAAAAATAAAAGAATTCTCCCTGGAATACATGAGTTGAGCAATGAGAATCCAACCAGTAGATAATCTCCAGACAACAGAGGTAACAAAACCTGAATATAATTATGAGGATTTTAAACAACCACATTACCACTTTTACACAACTCGTTGAGTTCATGTTGAACTTTTGTTCCATTCCAGTATGAACTGTATCATCACTGGTTCCAATTTGGACGGTTACGCCTCAATTATCCTTCAGGACTTTCTCAAAAATGCAGAAAAAACACATTTAGAAAAGGCCAATGGACTAACTAATAACTCCTTCCTTTGTCCAAAGCATTTTGCCCATTGTGAATATCACACACTTAGGAAGCTCTCCTCTGAAATCTATTTCTCATTCACTAAGCAGTTGTCCGAGTCTTGAAAAAATCCAAGTATGGTCTCCAGATAATGTTTGACACATGTTAAGATTTCTGCACTGTCCTGGAATGTAAGAAAAAATATGATTGCACTGCCCTAATTAAAACTTGAATCCAAAAACTTGTTAAAAACAACTCAGTTTAAAAAAAATATAAATCTTTGCCAACACGTGCACAGCATTTTTAAGATGGCTTGCGCAGAAGTTTTTGGCTTTTAGATGTTTGTTACTGTTACTATCATCAACAACATGTTCGTGTGCACAGGCATATTGCCGTCTTGCATCCATCTATGTCACCATAAAATAAAAATATTTTTTCATTATTACATAGATTATCAGGAGCCCATCTAATGTAATGGGTCTATCTTCAGTGAATCAGTTCATTTCTGTTCTTCACCCCCCATGAAAGTCCGTAACAGCTGACTGCAAGAAGCTCCTGTAAAAGCATAGTAACACATGAAAACATGACTTTATCTAGTCTTTGAATAGTATGCTGTTATGTTTGTTCAGTCACCAACATCTCTTCTAAAAGGATAGCAACTGAAGTAATGAGATTTCAAAGAAATTTTAACTATATACAACATGGGAAATTATTTCTTCTTTTTCACTGCATGCAAAATTCATTTATGCCAAATAGTATTTGCGTTAGTAATAATTGTGTGACAGACAACTAATGACTACATGTCTGTAGGGGGGATCTAATCTCTGCTGTCTAATCTCCAAAGCATTTGGAGGAGAGTCAATCTGCAATGTGTTAAGGGCACCAACATAATAAGGTTGGTTATATATAGCCCTTCACACCACAGATTTTCCAAAAAGTTTCAGAAGGTGAATATTATTACCTATTGCTAGTCTAAGAATTCTAAACACTGTCAAAGATATTAAACACTCTCTCCCTAAACCTTTCTTCTTCTTCTTCATCCAAGAAGCCTCCCCTACAGACGTTAAATCAGGTTATTATATATTTATACACCTAGCCTCTAGCCTAGCAATCTCCAGAAGGTCATTATTAACTTTTCACTTCAAAATTGCTAACAATGCAGTGGCTCAATGGGTTGGTCTGACATGTTTTTTAATATAAACCTGCCTTACCTGCTCTCCCTTTGCCTCTGGCAAGCCAGCACTTCTACTGTTATTGTGCAGAATAGCTGGAAACCACTTTCCTAATATTGACTTTTAGCCATGTAGCCTCCAGTTCAGTTTTACTGTCATCAAATCCAGCATTTGGAGAGTTAAATCAATCCCCCTCCTCCTCTCTCCCCACATACGTCATCTTTTCTTACAACCCAGTGTTTGGCATTTTAATTATCTTCTGCGTCCTTACTATAAACACCTGTAAAGTAAGCCTTACCTGGCAATGAAAAAGGAGATAGATTGTCCTGTTCATTTTCCTCCTCTTGGTTCACCACAGGGATGTTCCCATTTTCAATATTCTCATGTCTCCTATTCTGAAGTGGTTTGCTTGAGCCATTGGCAGACTGGATTAACCGCTGACGCTGCACAGTGTCAAACACAAAACTGCCATAGTTTGGAAAACAGTGACTTTGTTAAATCTGGGTTTTGCTGTCTGTCCAGCTCCAATCACGTGAGCTGTGACGCTTCTCCTTCCAAGCAGCAACAAACAAATCTGTCTGTGGCATACCTGTCTTCATCAGGCCAATGTTGACCACCCACCTCAAAATTACTGGCAGAAGTCTTTAGGCCGTGATGGAGAAAGTTGTGATATCCATCCTTCCAACACCATGTTTTAATGAGCATGGTTATTCTGCAATGCTTCTCACTCAACAGTTCTCACTCAAATTAGCAATAGCACTATGGCTTGGCTTGGCTTCAAGTGTGAAGGTTTGGGAAGGGCTTTAACCACACTTACTACAAGCATGATGACCAAGGCATGTGGGATATGTACATCTGGTTGGAAAAGGGTGCTTAGGCAATCAGGGAGTGTCCGACCAGGACTGTCATCTCCTCAAGCTACTAGTGGTAACACTCAAGACATTCCCACACTATTAGAGTTGGCTTATGAATGACTCATTACCCAGGATCTCTCCTGCCCAGATCCAACTGTCCTCCCTCCTTCTCATCCCCATTTATTTAGGTTAATGTATAGGTCATACTAATAATTCCAAAAGCAATCCTGTTGCCCTTGTCTGAGCATATGCTTTCATGAAGCTCTTAACTATCCCTGGAGACTTGTGGAAGACTGCTACAATTCCAATAAACAGTACAACAATTAAAGGGACAGGTTTAAATGTCCGTATATTTTCCCAATAATGCACTGGAGAATGTGAAATGGAAGAGTAATTTCCTACTTTTATTAAAAAAATGTATTTTTAGTTTGTCAGAGGAAATAATGCAGGGTTGAAAAGCATTCTCTTTCTCATGACAAATTGTTGTAGCTTCCTAAAAGTGTTCTGAAATGCCTTGAAAAATAAAGCTAGTGCACAACATGCAAAAAAATCTGAATCTAGTATTAAACTAAACACTGTAGTTTATTTAAAAATACAGAAAACTCATATCTGAATACTTTGCAAAACTTTGGCAGTGAGAATAGATAAGAACATACATCCAAATGGTCTGGTTTAGAGAATGTTTTTTGCAGATGTTGAACTAGAAAGTATCAGTGCATATATCCATTAAAAAAGAATTTTTTGCTGACCAGTGAATTGCCTTCAAAGCAGCACTTTTATGGAGCCAAATGCTGCTATATGCCCTTTCTGATCTTCTGCTCTTGACTGTACGCCACCAAGCTGACTTCCTAATAAATATTTCACTGGTTTACTGCTAAACTGGACTTTTGTTATAAATATATTAGTGCTGCTTTCTTTCACTGGGCTATTCTTAATGCTGGGAGACACATGAACTGTGTTAAGACATCCAAATTCCAGAAACTTCCTAAAGCTTGTATCTCCTAAACTGCTGAAATTATTTTATTTGTGAGAGTAAAAACCTCTCATATTTGACATTGTAGGGAGCAAAGGATAAATTCCTGCTTTCACAGAATTCAAGGCTGGAAGGTCAAAAAATTTCACCCCAGTATTTCATACATGCTTAGAACAGTGTCACATGGCCAGTCCTGTCACTTCAACGGCAGGATATGAAACAAGCAATAACAGTAAAAGTGGGGACAGTACGTCAAGTTAGAGATAACTGAAACTGTCTAAGGCAAATTCCCCTCATAAAAATATTTTGATTCATTTTAATTTTGAGCTGAAGACTACAGATAAGACTAAGAAGGTAGGCAAATACCTGATGTGATCCTGAGGTGCTGCTAATATAAGAGCAGTTCTTAAGAGATTTTTGCTTGTCCATTATTCCTGTCTTAGCCTGACCGCTTTTGTAATGATCACACCCAGTTCTTTTGCTGCAGATAAACCCCAAATATGTTCACATACAGACACACACATGCTGAAATAACCATCTTCTGGATGGGAAATAAGGAAGTCCCTTCTTGGTGACTGCCTTCCTGTTAAGACAGGCAGCATTGCCAATTAGGAATCCATCTTCAAATCTGCTGTGACACAGCTGTTAGAGAAAGACGTAACTCTAGCCCATCCCTAGGAACATGGGAGAATCTGCATTCCAAAATAACTATGAACACAGCTCTTTAGCAACCCCTTCGCTCATAGCAACTAATTCTTTTCCTAAAGGACCTACCTCATTAATGATAAGACGGCTTGCCATCCGCATTCTGGTGCGTGGTCCAAATTTATTTGTAATCATAATCCGTAATCCAGCTTCAGGGAACCGATATTTGGGGGGACTGGAACAGATGATCTCATCCACCATCACAACACTGTTTTTGCCATATTGCTGCATCCCCTTCACTAATGGTCACAATGGACAAAGTTAGTTGTGAACTGATCTTACCATGCTTCCCATCACCCAAAGTCATTCTGTTTAGACTCAAAGGGAGTAATATTCAGTATCTCTAACGTGACCAGATTTGAAACAATGAAAAAAAAACCCAATTCTCAAGAACAAATCTATTAAGTAACCCTTTGTTAATATAAAGGAACGTGTACAAAGGTTACAAGTTTTGTTCTAGTATGTTAAGCTAGTATGTTAAGAACACAGAGAAACAAACTTATATTGTGAATCAACAAAAGTACAGGTAAGGACTTTCAGAGTTTAAAAACAAGCCAGCATTCTCACAAATGCGACAGACTATACACAGCAAGAAGAGCAAGGCTCAGCAGACAGGAGGCATACCCATGTGGTGTTAGAAAGCAGTGTAGGAAATATGCATATGACTTTAATAAATATTAATTACTACATGGAAAAAAAAAACCAACCAAAGTTCTTTGATGCTTGTTTTCTGTTTGCTTAGCTTCACACCCCCTCCCCCCCCCTTTTGTGTTAAGTTACTTACATTACGAAAGAAGAAGAGAATTTAGGAGGTGGAAGTGCAAGATAATTATTAGTGCACGGTTCCAGTCAGGAAGCAAAGGAAATCTAAGAAAGGAATTAAAATGGACCTATTCTAAACACACAGAAATCTGTATTGTTAGTTTTTTGCATTCTTACAGTGTTGAATTATTTTTATTCTTCAGGAAGAAGACTGGATCCATGCATGCAAGTAAATCATATCATGCAATAAAGGCTCTGCTGTCTCAAGCATTTTCTAACATTTGGAGTTGAAAAAGTATATCCTTTCATTATCATTCAACAAGAAAAAAAATCAAGCCTATAAATCACCAGTAGACAGCTATATCTTTTACCCTTTGGCACTGAAGTGTCTTCCTTTGTTTCACTACAATGAATTTTCAATGAGTACACTGGAGTCACCTGAAGTGTCATAAAGAGATCTTTGGTTTCATAAAGAAATATGTCCTATTCAAAAAAACCAAATGTGGTTTTGTCTTACAGGAGAATAGAACTAGTAGTAATTTTGCCTTTGGTAAACATACAGGAGCAGCTATCCTCCCTCCACCCCAACATTTAAAGCAAATTAACCTTGCTGAGTACTATAGCTGATGATGCAAATAAGGAGCACATCCATTCCAATGACTCTTAAGAGCGTAGCAGAATATCTGTGAAGGAATATATAGCCAGACAATCTTCCTAGGAAGCAGTCCTCATAGAAGAAGTCCTCAACCACAGTAGCTTAACATTTGCTTTAGCTGGACAGCAATTCTGGTAAGGCAAAAAAGGCCAGGTATCTTTTCAACAGTTTAATCAGATTAACTGCTTTCAAATGAGTTTCTCCAGTGAGGTTTCAAAATGCTTCTTTATCTTACAGTATCATGAAAAAAACATCAAAGCACTGCAGTTACTCTGGAATTGTTTCTGACAGCACTAGGGAGACAGTGACCAAATATACTGTGCTTTGATGAAATACCAAGATATAAAAAAAAAAAACAACAAAAACTTCAGCAGTGGTGTAGAATACATCACTATAAAAAAAAAACCCAACAGCAAAACAAAAGACAAAAACCCCAGAACACCTGTTTTGAGTTACCGCATCACATTGCTCTTATATTTCCACAACAGTTTGTCTCACTCCCTATGCCCATAAACATACATACCTTGTCCCTATATGGTACAAACAGGCTCCACCTAAAAATCACAAAAGTAGTTTTCACAAATGTGAGCGAGAAAAGCCTTTTTGGCTTCTCCTTTGTGATATTCCTTAGAAAAATACCTTCTGAGAACAGCTTTTCCTTTCAACAAACTACCTAAACTTCCTGCTCACCATGAAGTGTCATCATTAACAACCCTGTCCCTGTCAAAATCAACAGAAAACACCTTGCTGACTTAGAGCTGACACCCCTGATCAGGCCCTCAGAAACTCATTTTTCAGGATCTGCTAGGTTCAGGCAGGAATCGAACCATGCCACCTGGTGGAAATCTTGGTCAACACAATAAAAGCCAAGGGCAGTGAGCCGCAAGCCTGTACTTGTAAAATACGAGCATTATTTATAAACTATAAATATTTTGCCTTTACCTGTGTGCACAGAACTTGCCCTTGAAACTGAATTTATCCTATGGTAAAAAGCTCTCCTTTTTGTTCTCAAACTTGAGTAATGGAAGCTATTATATAGTACCACTGGATGCTCTTGGAAATAGTAAAACTTAGGAGCACAGAAGAGATCTGTGCAGCATGTAAACCCCCCTTTTATCTGCATCTTGAGCAACTGACTAAGCATCCTTGGTAGGAACAAAGTTACTCACCCAAATCAAACGATCTTTTTTGGGGAAGTAATCACTTTTGTCCCATGGAAATCAGATGAAGATTAAACCTACACCTTGGTGAAATCATGGGAGGCTTTTGGGGGGATCCTAAAGCTTGCTATCCACTGGTTGGAGGTAAGGCAGACATCAGCCGTAGTCTCCTCAGGGCTACTAGCAGTGCTCCTGTTTCTGAAAGCTGCTGCTGGGAAGGTGCAGCTCAGCTTGTGAAGCCAGCCAAGTGTCAGTTAACCCAACAAATACCTCAGAAATAAGACTCACTAACATCTGTGTTCTTTCACTGAATCACCCTTACCCTGTGTCCCCACTTGAATACATAACTACTGCCCTAGGAAGTATCCTCTGAATCTCATATGTAAATATCTCCACATATCTCCACATCCAAAGATCATAGCCAATGTTCACAGCAACTCATTGCAAAATAAGATTAAAGTATTTCAAAGGTAACTTTCAGTGTTGTAGCTCATCAATGAACAGGAGACAAAAAGGAAGCAAAACTGCCAATGTGCAAAGCAGCTTGTTTTCAGAATATAGATATAAAACAATAAATTGATTTGGCTTTGGTGTTTTTTTTTCCATCTGGCAAACTGACTGCTGAATCATCAAATCAACCCAATGAAAATTCCTGCTTCTGACTGAATAGTAACACTGTTTAGATACACATTAAAGAAATAAAAAGGGCACTTTTTCAAAGTCCTGTCTGCTCAGCCTTACCTTTCCATAGCAATGGAATGGACGGGTCATCACAACTAGAGGCATAGTATTTATTACCGTCTTCGAGCTCATTGTTGACTGTGTCACCATTTCCAACATTCTTGCTTTTAATGCTGAAGAAATTTTGCATCCTCACATTGTATCTGAAAGTGCAAATGAAAAGGTCTGAATAAGCTGGATTATTGCATATCCTTGTCCAACTTCTAAGCATCTGAGAACAACTTATGCAAGCAAGCAGTAAAGCCTAGATGCACATTCTCAGCAGGAAGACCAAGGACAGAACCACACAAAAAGAATGACGGTCAATTAAGACCTAAAAGGCCTACACAGGAGAAAAGCACTTACTTCATGATAAGTATGTAGAATGAATACATAATGATGAGTACAAGGCTTTCCCACCTCAGAGAGACAAAAAAAAAAAAAAAAGTGTTATAAGGCCATTAAACAGCTGTATGCTCTTCAAGTTTTATGCAGGGTGAATCAAATATCTAGTACAAGTCACATTTGTATACATAGGATTCACACCATTAAGATTAGATGGTGTCTCAACAGAAGGGGGGGGGGGCAGCAGACTCTCAAGTTCCAATAAGCATGCAAATACGTAATGCATGTATTTCAGAAATGTGCTATGCAGACTGAAACCACAGCTACCCTCTGAGGATAGTAATGCCAAGGCCTTTTGTCATTTCAGCACTGAAGCACAGGCTAGGCACTCAAGAAGACTCTTCTAGAAGATGTTTATGCTCTCCCACTAGGATCACATGTTGCACTTTTCTTTGGGACACCTAGCACCCCATAAATATTAACAACCAGAATCAGCAGACCTTCACTTTTCCTCTCTGCACTTGTGAATCTTCAGGCTTTAAATATAGCCTACTTACTTTGTTAATGTCTCCAGGTTCTTACATTTTCTTTTAGTTTCCCCTGATCATCATAAAAAAATATAACCAAAGAAAACACATGATTTTCTAGGCGTCAAATCCAGCTCATATTCCCAGCATGTATGAATGAAAGCTAATTACACTGCAACTCTATTTAGTGATCAGTCCCATGGCAGACATGGTACTGTAGGGAATAATTTACACAACTTACCATTCTATTTTCTCATCATATATGAACTAGAAGAAGGGAAAAAAAAAACAAAAAAACAAAACACATAAATTGGCCATTTCTCTGATCTATCTTGAAAATCAGTCAAATTTATTTAATAAACATCAGTCATGTCTAACCAGAAGCTGCTTGAGTTTTGACCCTTTCTAACCAGAAGTTTCACTGTATGGACTGTGTCCCTCATAAAGCAGAAACCTTGTGAACAAGGCTTGGATCCCTCTCAGTGATTGCTACAAACACTACTGAGTAAGACAGTGGGAGCATGTGAAAGAGACAGATATGTACAAATGTACACAATGCTGTCCTGTGTAAATAACAGCAAAGTCATATTTCTGAAGAGACCTAGCTCTCAGTCCTCTTAACAGATAGACTAGTTTTGGTAGAAAAGACAGCCATTTTACTTCTGCTTTTAGGCCAAGCAATTATACACATTTTATTCCTCCCTATATAATTTCTGTAACTGAATGGCCAGCTAGTGATCCGTATTTATTACAAATAAAACTAAGTGGATTCTTCCCTTTCTTGCCACCAAACCCAGTAAATAGGTGCGTTTGGTAACTAACTACACTGCTCTACATAAACAAAGTGGTATCCCATCTGTGCTCCATTTAGAAAAATTTACCCAGAATCTGCGAGATAAAATGACTGTGTAGAAGCAACAAACAGCCACCTTCCCTATTCAAAACAGAAATGCAGCTCAAAATTTTTCACCTCCACAACAGGAAGTCCCCTAGGTCAGAAGAGAGTGCTCTTTGCAGTGAGCAACACTACCCTGCTAGCCTGCAAGAACTTTACAGATTGTAGGTACAAAATGAATGGACATTGATGGACATGTATTCTGTGGGGTTGTATGAAGTATTCATATTTGGACCATATTGTGGAGCTGAGCTATCACTTCCAGATGTCACTAGAATTAGCTAGGAAAATCATGGTTTACTAGTGTTTCTCTATGGTTAGCTGGCTGGACCTCCAAAACTTCAAGCAATGAATCACATTAATTGGTAACAGAGATACTTACAAGTATAAGTACAATCACAGATATTGTGTAGTACACAGAGTCCCGGAACACAGCCCACTGCGTGAGACAAACCACCTGAAAAACATCATAAAATTATAGAATGATTTGGATTGGAAGGGACCTTAAAGACCACCTAGTTCCAACCTCCCTGCCATGGGCAGGGACACCTTGCACTACACCAGGTTGCTTAAAGCCCCATCCAACCTGGCCCTGAACACTGCCAGGGATGGGGCAGCCTTGTATCATAACTTCAGCCAATAAAACATGCAATTTTAAAGACAAAACAAAGGCCTCTATCTTGCAAACACTTAGGTGTGTGAGCAGAATTATTGTTAGCAGTGATTCTGGAACCAATCACAGCTTCATGCTAACAGAAGACATACCAGTCTGTTAAGACAACAGAGCTACAATAATCACCAGTAATAAAAATCACAGAGAAACTTCCATTAAGGTAATTCATTTCTTACTAATGATATTTTAATTGGTCATAATTTTAATGGTAAAATACAATTCATTGTACTGAAGTAGATCAACGGCTCCCACTTCGTTATATTTGTGGATATATCGGACTTAATTCCTGAAAAAATATGATACACAGTCTAATCACCTACTGAGTACATGAAGCAGATCTTGTGTTCTAGAATCTTTGATCCCCATCAGTACCAGGAAGGATCAGGAGATGCCACTGACAGATGACTGTGAACACAGTATTACACAAGGAGGAGCCAGTTTCCTATGTGTGCTACATGTTCAGAGCGCTGAAACTACAGCTGAACTGTTTGGAAACATGTGCTACTTGTAACATTTGACAGTTTTCATAATGCCGTTTCATTTTTGGCTTTGACTAACACTCCTTTTTTTGGTTGTTTGTTTTTTTGTTTGTTTGTTGGTTGTGGGTTTTGGTTCTTGTTTGGTTTTGTTTTGTTGTTGCTTTTTGGGGGTTACTGTTATTCTTATTCTTGGGGGTGTTGGTTTTTTGTTTGTTTGTGGGGTTTGTTTTGTTTTGTTTGTTTAAATATTTGCTCATGGAAACCCCTAAACTGTAAGCAACTGAATTCCATAGAAGGAAGCGTCTTACTAACCTGTCCTGCAAACATTCCACACACACCAACAATGCAGAGGATGTTGAAAACTGCTGAACCAACAATGGTCCCTACTCCGACATCTCCGTGAGTGATAAATACACCTGCAGAGGGAGCAAAACATGTATTATTACACAAGGTTCAATGAGGCCAAGTGCAAGGTCCTGCACCTGGGTCAGGGCAAACCCCAATATCAACACAGTCTGGGAGATTGAGGTATTGAGAGCAGCCCTGCAGAGAGAGACTTGGGGGTACTGGTGGATGAAAAACTAGGCGTAAGTTGGACAATGTCCAACCATATCCTGGGCTGCAGCAAAAGAAGTGCAGCCAGCAGTTAGAGGGAGATGATTCTGCCCCTGTACTCTGCTCTGGTGAGGCTCCACTTGGAGTACTGCAACCAGCTCTGGAGTCCTCAGCACAGAAAAGACATGGACCTGTTAAGGCAGCTCCAAAAGAGGGCCACAAAAGTGATTAGAGGGATAGAATACCTCTCCTATGAAGAAAAGCTGAGAGAACTGGAGTTGTTCAGCCTTGGGAAGAGAAGATAGGAAACCTTATTGCAGTGCTTCCAGTACTTAAAGGAAGCCTACAAGAAAGCTGGAGAGGGACTTTTTACCAGGGTCTGTAGTGACAAGACAAGGGCTAATGGCTTTAAACTAAAAGTGGGTAGATTTAGATTAGATATAAGGAAGAAATTATTCACTATAAGAGTGGTGAGGCACTGCAATAGGTTGCCTAAGTAAGTTGTGAAAGGCTTCTTTTGATGCAGTCCAGAATACACTTAGCCTTCTGGGCTGCAAACTCACACCGATGGGTCACACTGAGCTTCTCATTAACCAACACCCCCAAAACTTTCCCTTCAGGGCTGCTCTTAATCCATTCTTATATATCTCAACTTCCCTCTCAGGAGCCTGCAATAAGCCTCTTCTTTTACTTCCTATGTTCAGAAACAGCTATTCATCACTATGTTTTGAGAGGAGCTTCAGAGTTTTATGAGATATTTCGAGGAGTTAATTGTACCATGAACTGCAGACTTGTTGACAGCTTCAATTGTTGATTATAAATTGACAGAATGAAAGCACTTTTGGATACCTCTGCTTGATCTGCTGCTGCTGTTTTAACAGCAGATCTCGTAAGAGCTAATGTGTGGGCTCCATACCTATAACAGATGCAAACAGTTCTGGAGTGGAGCTCCCTGCTGCCATGAATGTGGCTCCAGCAACATCTTCACTCAAATGTAGTTTCTGTAAGAAAAGCATTGGTAATTTCAGCACTGCTACTGTATTTACATTGCACAGTTCTGGAGCTGCAAAGATAGAAGCTCTTCATTTTCTGGCCACAATGCTGTTAAAGGATCAACAGTCACTATGATACAAATTAAGACATTGCCTTTGAGAAGGCGAATACACTTTTGGCAAATAAAATCTTTAAACCCTAACTCAGTGAAGAGTCAGACAACATTACTTATATGTAACTCAATAGCCAACTGTGGCTTACATGTAGCTTAGAGAAAAGCATCTCTGCAGATTCAAAAAGATTATAAGCATCTCAAATTGTTCTCATTAAGACCTGGAACTCTAAACAGAATCATTCAGGAATTCAGAGCTTCTAAAATTTGCAAATAAAAATCCGTAAGATAAAAACACAACCTCAGAGTATAAATCCTGAAACAGCAGGCTTGATTCTTGCTTCACTTTGCAACTGTGTTAATCAAAAGTGAGTCTGCTGACACAGACAAAATTAGTATAATCATACACAGAGAGGCCTGTGTACTGCAGATAGATCTACTTTTATGACAGCATCTCTTAAGCTCTAATAGGATAGAAATAAGAGCTCTCAGACCAGCAGAACCCATGTAGCTCTCTACAAGCGGGCTGTATCAATTTAACTGAAGACCTTTCCCTTGAACTGTAAAGAAGGTGTTACAGAGGAGCTTTTTCCTTTTCTGTAGTCTCTAGACTCATCTTTGGTATCTCATTTTTCTTCCAAGGATCGAAAAGTGATTAGTGATAAAAAGAATGATAGAAAAAGCATGTGTTTTTCAGGCAGTATGCAACATTTTGAGCTGATGAAAATGGCATCCTACAGAACATGACAAAACAAACAAAAGCCCTTACTGCACTATTTGACCTACTACCAGTCATACTGTTGCAGGAGCTGAAACCTATGTGTGCTATCTGAATTCTTCTTAGCTGTTTTAATGTTCAGCAGAACATTACAGACAACAATTTTATGAAGGATCAGTGACAACTTAATTGGTACAACCCAACTGGTACAACTTAAATATGGTGTATAAGGTGAATGCTGAAGACAGAAGATCTGAAAAGGATAGAAAAGATCTCTCTTGAGTATTTTACTGTAACTGGCTGTCTCCCTTATTCGTCTACCTGTTCTTCGACCGATAAGTATGTAGCTCAGAGTAATACTAACAGGAATTCAGTACATATATCCACAGCAAAATAGGCTTTTTAATTAGCTACAGGAGTTTTTCAGAAAATGGTCACACACATTTCAAAGGAGAAGATATTTTTATTTTGCCCTCAAAAGGGAATTAAAATCTGTTTTGCATTTTGTATTCATTTTGTAGTAGTTCACCAAAGCCTTACCTAAGAGAGCATTTACAGGCCCACTATAAATTCTACACTGTCCCAACCAATTTACTTAATCAGAATATTATACGTAATATTGCGAAGTCTTCTCAACAGTTATGTAAAGGAATTATATTTATTTACTATTCTTTCCATAGAAAATATGTACTCTCATTCCATATCAAACCAAGGTATATACTTTTCCCATGCCTTTTCCCTTTTCTCTACTTTATGTTAGGACCACATAGGCTTGCTTTCTCCTTGCTGATACGGTGGTAAAAGTGCAATAAAATTTGCATAGCCAATACATTAATTTGTCTATGTATGATTTATTTACACACGTGACCTGTACAACTAAGAGTACATTAATAAAGCCAACTCATCCATATGCCATATCCATCCTAGCTACATGCTTCAGGTATTTAATAGTGGGTTTTGCCATCTGATCTGATTAAATCTTTCATTTATTTCTCCTTGAGTGTGGCCAGGGGGACCAATGTGCCCAGACCAAAGGACAATTTTTTGATGGAAAGCTCAAAAAATTTTAAAGTACCAAGGCCAAAGAGTTGACAGGAATGAACTCCAAACAATGGCACAAAATGTTCAATTCTATAATATTGTCTAAATGAATTTCCAAAAGATGAATAAAGTTCTTCAACATACCTCACAAATTTTCTCTAACGATGGAACAAAGAAGTCATCACATACTATAGCCAAAGCATAAAACATATAAAGAGCCTGTAAAAAAAAATAAATTCAGGAAATACTTCAAATTTTTCCTGTACATGAAAAGAGGAAAGAAGGCAGTACTATATTTATTCACACTAGTAGAAATATATAGCTTCACTTTTTATTCCATTCCAAATAAAAATTCCTCTGCTGATCAATTTATGCCATAAAACCAGATTCTTGAATGTAAGTTTAGAACAAGAATGTTGCCAGACCCTTACAAAGGCTTACAAAATTACACAGTCATCATCTGTATTTTCCATGAATTATCAGACCATGTAATTACATGGAAAGTAACACCATGTTGATTAATAATACCCAAGAAATACACCTGGAAATAAGTAGACTCTGACCATGGCTCACTGCACCAGACCTCTCAGGCATGATCCTGGTTCTCTGCACACGTGATTGCCCACTGTCTTCTGTATCCTTATGTGCTGTGCTCAAGAAGTGGGCCCAATCCTACTGTTGTCTAAAAAACACAACTCCTTTTTACTTTTCTTTCCCTGAGCAGGTAATAAAAAACCAGAGCTTGCAGGCCTTGTTTTGGGTTGTTTTTTTTTTCTACAATAAAATATAAAACTCCACACAACATTTTCTGTATTTCTTCAGGGGTTTTATATTCTAATTGCAATTGCACAGAGGCACAACAGGAAAGAAAGACCTGCATCATTTTCTTAAATAAATCACAAAATCATTTAGGTTGGAAAAGACCCTGAATATCACCAAGTCAAACCATTAACCTAATACTAACAAGTCCACCATTAAACCATGTCCCCAAAACGTATGTATAGACTTATCAGAAATAATTAAATCAAAATATTAGAAATATGCTGATATATACAAAGCTCTATTGAGTAAGGTCACTAAAATAATTAACACCTTGTTAACAAAACAAAAACAAAAATTAAGTACAGTAGAGGAAAACTTACAGCAATGATATGAAGCAGAACTCCTCCTTGCTGCCGTTCTTTATTTGTAAATATATCTTCAGGAAATTCATTAATGGCTGAAAGAGAAATAAACTTTTTTTTTAAATGTTACATCATCTATAAACAAGAAACTGAAAAATAAGGATGCATCTGTAGAAATATATGACCAAACATGACTGCATTTTTCAATATTACATTATAGCTTGCCACCTCAGAATCTTGTTTCTGCTCTGCCAAAAAACCAGAGAACTGATACTTCAGTGCTATTAATGACATCGTTCATAGAATCATACAGTGGTTTGGTTTGGAAGGGACCTTTAAAGGTTACCTGTTCCACACCCCTTCACACAATGATCAGGGTCATCTTCAACTAGATCAGGTTGCTCAGAGCCCTGTCCAAACAATGTTTCCAGGGGTGGTGCATCTACAGCCTCTCTGGGCAGCCTGCTCCATTTCACCACCCTCATCATAAAAAATGTCTTCCTTGTATCTAAATCTACCTTCTTTTAGTTTAAAACCATTATCTCTTGTCATACTGCTACAGGTCCCATTAGAATACCAAGTCGGAAGGAACCTCAAGGATTATCTGGTCCACCCTGTCTTGGTAAAGCATGACCTGGAGACTTACATGTCCCAGCACCCTGTCCAGCTGAACCTTAAAACTGTTCAGCTCTGGGGCATCCACCACTTCCCCGGGGAGATTATTCCAATGGCTGATTGTTCTCATTGTGAAAAACTTTCTTCTTGTGCCCAGTATCTCCCCAGTAGTAACTTGTGCCTATCACCTCTTATCTTTTCCATGTGAAAAAAGTCTGTCCCCATCTTTCTTATAGGCCCCCTTTAAATACTGAAAGGCCACAGGAAGGTCTTGCCAGAGCCTTCTCTTCTCCAGACTGAACCACTCCAACTCTCAGCCTGTCTTTGCAGCAGAGGTGCTTCAGCCCTCTGATCATCTTCCCGTCCTCTCCTCTTGACCCACTCCAACAGGACCGTGTCCTTCTTATGTTGGGAGAGTTTTACATAAATACAAAACTGCCCCTTCTCATCTCTACTATACAAACCTACATATGATGCATATGTCTAGCTTGACAAAGACTTGAACAGTGTCTCCATGTGAGGCTGAAAATCCCATGGCTGGTTTTTTCCTTACTGTCCACTACCATAAATGTTTTATGATATTTACGATATGAATTACTAAGCCAGCAGCACATAGTGTTTAAAACCTCATACTGCATAAATCACACATTCTTTCCAAAAGCCAAAGTAGCCATTCTTTCCATTAACAATTAACTAAAATTATTAATAACTAAAAAAGCATTAAGGAGACTTGCCCTTTGGGAGAAAATACCCAGAGCTACAGCTGCTGGCATCTTCCACAATATGGGCATTCTTGCATCACTGGCTAAAATACCATGCTCACACAGATGTGTTCAGGACATGCATACTATTTTTCTTATCATACTCCCCATTTGCCCTCTGTCTCCTCCATTCAAGCCATGGCTGTGAGAATTCCAACAGTGCACTAGGGAAGCAGAGACCAGAGCCTGACCTGAGTCTCTAGCAATGGTAATGTGACCCTGCACATGGGGCACACATCCTTTCACGTAGCCTGATGCAAGGGTTTGCAGCTCTGATCACAGGTGCTTGTGCCAGGAGCACCATCACCCTTACTGCCACCACACAGCAGAGGGAGTATGTCCCCGTCCCATAACTTGGCAAAACAGGTGTAATCTGTTATTACCTACCCAGTAATCTCATTCAGTTGACCATAAAACATTTCAAAGTATAATGTTAAAAATGGTTAAGACAGTATAAACTGAGATTTCAAGAAGCATGAATAAAAACCACTATCTTTCTAATGGGACTTCACTTGCTTGAAGTTAAAATCAACTAGGAAATCAAAAGATGTCAAAGGTAAGAGCCAGAAGATAAAATGAGCCCAAGCATCTGATCACCAACCAAATGCAAACCAGCTTCACCACAAACCATCTTGCTTCATATGTAGTCTGGTGAGGTAGTATTTATAATACATAACTACTTGTAATAAATATCTGCTTGCCTCACAGAGGTAATTTTAAATTAACAGGAAGACAACTTTACTCAAAGATAATGTTCCTCTTTACACAGAACTCCTGATATACAATTGTTCTCACAAAGAGACACTACAAAATCTTCTTTAAAACTCAGTGAAATGAAGCAAGGGTCTGGAGCTGGCAAGTAAAATTTCTTCCTTAATGAAATGGCCTCCTGCCAGTGAGTTCTAATGTAAAGTCTGGAGGTTTTCAGTGCAAACAGCTGCTGTCTTTATGGCTTTATTATCCAGATAATCACAGGTTTTGTATAACTGTCATATATAAATTCTGTATACCTTATGTACGTGAACTGTTCTTTATTTACTTGCTGTATCATGGTTTTAATATTTTAAAGATTTGTTTTTTCTTACCTACTTTTATGATAACGTGGTTGCTCAGGAAAAGGTTGTCTGGATTATCTTGGCTCCTAGCTTCAGCTTGGGAATCAAAATCACTGAACTAAGGGGGGGGGCAGTGGTATTCCCTCATCTGTATGAGCTGACAGAGGGGAAATTACATTATCAGAGTTTCAGAGAACCTCTGGTCTGCCCTCATGGTACAATTTGATGTGGGAGAGCAGCAGGGCACCACTCTACTTCACACATAGATATTTCCTCCTGTATGGGAGACACAGCTATCCAGCAGCCTGTGTGGGAGCTACATCTGCTCGGTTTCTACTGAAGAGAGACAGAACAGATGGGAGAACATGAAATGAAAAGCAGTACATCTAAGGGGGCTAACCTTTGCCAAAAAAGGGAGGGGAACACACACCAATCATCTTAAAATCAGCTAGAAATACAGAAATATTTATCCTGCTGGCACTGTTGCAAATGCTCCTGCAGCTTATCTTATCGAGCACAGATTTACTGAGGGGGAAAGGAGGGCACCGAGAAAGTCAAGTCTGTATCAGACCTGGATCATTCTGCAGCTCGTTCCCTTTCTCCAATCATGAAATGAGTGGGGAAACAAAAGCAGCTTATCCAGCCAAGACTTGGAGGGGACAGCACCACCTTTTTCTCCGAGTCATGGAAACAAAAAAATCCTTCATTATGGTGTGACAGAAAGGATGATTCACCTTTGGTAAAAAGCTCTGAGGCTGAGCTGTCTGTGGCAGAAGAGCTACAAGGCATGTAAATAGCATGCCTCAGAACAGAACATAATGGCAGCTGCACAGCTTAAGCTGTCTACATGGCTCTGGAGGGAAGATCCGGTGTGCAGCAGCCAGGGTAACCCAGGCATGCCAGTGACACCTGCCCAGATTTAGGCTGTTGCCGGATTAATTCGGGGTACCATTAGAGCATTGTTCCCATATGCCCTATCAATACTGTGACAGGCAGTCTGCCAATGAACTTAAGGTTCAGAAATCTCCTAAGCCTGACAGACCATCTCAACAACCACGTGGATCTGTGGTTTTATAACCTGCCTCAACATGTGATTTCTTCACCTTATCAGCAGTTGATTTACACAGAGACAACAAATGTGCCAACTCTTAATACCTGCTAAAGGTTCAAGCCTGTTACAACTCTTGAATTTCTTCTCAAAGGGAGAAGGGATCTCTAGCTGTTTAAAAGGCTACATGCAAGGGGTTCCACTCTGCCTTTGCAAGAAGGAGTTAGGCAAAAAATATGCTCAGAAACCCACTTCCCCTTTTAATGTCTGCATCTTCTTCCTCTGTCCATGCTCCTCTGTCCGTTCAGGACATGTTATGTCTACAGACTGCAATACCTACTCCCTTTGCCCTGACATTCACAGGTTGTTGATCATCAGACTTGCTGAGGGCAGAAGTGGATGAAAAACAGACAAAAGACAATTATGTATTTCCACTTTTACCTCTTCTATAATCATATTTACATGCCAGCTTGAATACTTTAAGTTTGTATCTTTGTATAAATACTGCAAGCAACTTTAGGCACCTTTACACTTAAGTGTGTTTCTCGTTATGTGCAATTCACTTTCCACATTGCAGGGCCTCATCTTCCCAAGGCCTGGTGTTCATGCACATCTATTTTGTGCCTGAGTGATAGCAAAGAAGCTCTTCCCTGTGTGCAGAAATGAGCTTCTTTATACTTGTCAAGCAAATACATGCATCGTTACCTACTGCCAGCAGCAAAATGTCAACAGTTTGTGCACCAAGACTTGAACTTTCAACAGCCTTCATGATACTGCAACTTGCACTAAATTATAATTCTGTACTAATATAATCTGTTCAAAGATTTGAGTGAATGCCAAAAAAGCATCACTTCTTCTAACCCACCTCCCTGAATGCAGGTGTCCCATGTTAGGGTCAGGGTTAGAGTATGTCTTAGAATCACTCCTGCTTTCAAAACATTTGTGGCTTTGACCCATGCTGTTAAACCAAAAAAATCAGTGCACTGGGAAGCCTTTTACAGAAAGCAGAATCCTAATGGCAACAGGATAAATTCCTCCCATGTTCTCTTTACCACCAGTATCAAGACAGCTAGTCCCCTGTCATGTTTCACGTATTAGCTTCGGTACAGAAGTGGTAACAATCTCACAAATGATGGTGAGATGAGCCCAGTACAGCCAAAACAGACATGTAGGTAGTCTCAGGGAACAGCATAATACGCTGATCTGATCCTCTTACATAATCTGTGCACTGCAAGTATTGTGACAGCAATTTTGTACTTTAGGAAACAGTCGTGTTGCTTTTACTCATAAAGAAGTTTTGACCTGTTTTAGTTATGTATTCCAGTGTTAACAATGGAAACAAAGTCAATCCAAAGATCATATTATCACAGTGAAACTAGCCTACTGATATATAAAGTCAGCCATATGAAAGTCCTCCTTTTTAATACTTCTCAAATCAGGTAAATTTTAACAGTTATTAGAAAATCATAAATGTACCACAGTAAATTAAAGCTATATTTTTACACAATCACACAAAGCCTAAATTAATTTTAAAAAATTATCACAGAAATCTCAAATTTTTGAAGAATCCTTTCTAACACCACAAGCTCACACACACTTAAATCTGAATTGTCACT